CTAAAATAAATATAGGTTCCTACTTTGTGGTTTTTCACTTATCGCGGGAGCGTTTGGAACGTAACCCATGTGATAATCGAGGGACTACTGTAATATAAAACTCTTGACGTAAGTGGTGGGTGATCTGCATTTTTTTCAAGAAATACTAGGCCTTTGAGAAATATTTATTATCCATCCATTCATCCATTATCTTTTACCCACTTCTTCCATTTTGGGTCACGGGGGTTGATGGTGCCCATGTCCAGCAATCACTGTGCGAGGGGCGGGGTACACCCTGGACAGGTTGCAAGTCCATCACAGGGACACATAGAGACAAACGAGACAAACAACCATTCACTCCATCACTCACACCTAGGGACAATTTAGAGTTACCAACAGACTAACATGCTCGTTTTTGGTCTGTGGGAGGAAACCGGAGTACCCGGAGAAAACCCACGCATGCACTGAGAGAACATGCAAACTCCACCCAGAAAGGCCCCCGGACCGAGATTTGAACCGGCAACCTTCTTGCTGAGAGGCAGCAGCTCTACCAGTTGCACCACTGTGCTGCCTGAAATATTTATTAATTTTTTTAAATAATAAATTGCTTCATTGTTGTATCAGAACCATGTTTCTGCAATCACTTCCTTCTTACCAACTTATTTCAAAAGTCACTTCTCAAATTTTTGCAGTGTAACTTTTAAGACCAGTGTAAGTTACGGCTCACTGCAGCCGTCTGTAACGCTCTAAAAGAAAAGCTGCAGAGAGCAAATAGTCATTAACATTCACAGAAGAGGAAGAGAAGAAGGCTGGTAAGGGAGGTGGTGGTGGGACCATGCACATCCAATGAAAAACTCTCAGACAGGGTACAAAAAATCTCTAGTGCCATTCTGCCATGATAGGCTGTAAGAAGAGTTGGCATATTTATTTGAACATACTGACACGTTTTGAATCCAAACTCTGAACTTGTAGGTGTTACGATACCAAAAAAATGAAATTAAGTTACTCTTATATTTATGGCATACTAAAATCATAGCCAGCCAGTGGCCAGGTGGGAACAGGCAAGGTATGAAACTGTCAGAGCGATTTATCATTCTCATCTGGCAGTCACGTACCTTGCAACTCCACCGGGTCACCTCCTAAGACATTACATCGTGGTGCCAGGCTCACAGTGTTCCTAACAGGCTTGTAAAATAAACTTTATTAGATGCTTCACGGGCTTTAGATGAGGAAGAAATCCCCGTTTCATTCTACCCTTTTAAAATACCCCTTTGACCATAAAATTATCTCCCCTGTAACCAAAATTTGATAGCTTTTTCCATACTGCTGATTTTCATTCTCATACTCTTTCCAGTGAACACACAGCTACAGCTTTCACCAGTAATTTGCATGCCAAAGGCTTCTTATGTTCAGTATCTCATAATTTAAGAGCCCTGGTTAACCCGAAGGCCAATTTTCTTCAATTTATCTGACAACTTCTGGCTCTCGTATCATGTGTGTGGTGTCAACCTGCTGTTGAAGTTGGAAGACAAGTTTCACTCCTTAATAACGACCTTTCGAGCTGCTGTGAATGAGGAGGTGGAACAGTTGGCTGCCTTGTGGTAAATGTCTCTAGTTTAGCCTACAAGCTCAGGCTCTGAGCCTCTAATTGCTTTTTAGCCGTCCTGTGCTGAATCGAACCAATCATGTGACACTTACTCTTTTTCCTCGTTCCACAGAGCCTCGACTCTCTTCCACCCTGCTCTGAGGCACCTACTCATATGATCCAGATTATACAGAGTGAACATATGTGCACACATTTACATTGGCAGGCAATAACCAACCAACACAGGTTCCCTTCTTTGTCAGCGTGCAAATCAATTTTAGTTTAAATACTGGAAGATTACGTCAACTTTACTGTCTGATAAGCAGCTAAGACATTGAGGATTTAGTGATCTACAGCAGCAGCAATCTTTGGAAGTTTTACCATTGTCTTCTTGAACTCAATGCAGTGTAAAATATGGTTTTCATAGAGAAAAGCAATTTATTTAGTGACTGACTGAAAGCTCATTGCACTGAGACTGGGTACTGAAGAAGAAACACAATTTCTTTTTATTGGGCTCCACCCAAAGTGAGATGGATGCCATCTCTCTGCATCAGACAAGGTTTTCCCCAAATTGCACTCCAGTTGTCTATGTAGCCCACGCTGTTTTCAGGACACCTGGACAGCCAGCGGTTGAACGAGGACATGTCATTGTTGGTCAGGTTGGGGAGGGGACCAGAATAAACTACAGAGTCCGACATAGATTTTGCAAAGTTACACGTCAAAGCAACATTAATTTTAGTGACCTCTGATTGGCATATGGGCATCATTACCACTCACATGAATAACATGTTGTCTTGTTGTATTTAGTCTTAGCCTTAGTCAGCAGTTTCAGGTAGGATCCAATGTCGCCCGCTCTGGTCCCCAGAATGCATTTGACTATGGTCACTGGAGTCCCTAGTGCCACGTTTTGGACTACAGAGATGCCAATTATCAAGGTCTGCTTCTCAGTGGGTGTGTCACACCAGTGGGAACAGGTCGGTGGTGAAATGGGGGGCTTAGCATTAGCACTATGCTTACTCTGGACCGTAGCCTAGCCAGCCTAAGGTCTCAGCTGCTCAGGGTCTGCTCAAGGACCACTAAGGGGAGCTATTCTCAGTGGCTACATGCAGCCTAAGGGTACCTGGATAGCTAATGGTTTTTCAGCAGCAGGGAGCTGAGCTTCCAGTTCAGAAAGCCTCTCCTCCAAAGCTATCATGAGACTACATTCAATACATTTACCATTATCACTAAAGGAGGCAGAGGACTAGCTGAACATCTGACACACAAACCAACTGAGAACAGAGGAAGCTGGGCGAGAACTAGAAGTTACGTTAAGCTAATACAAGTTCAAGTAAGTTTATTGGCATTTCACCATATGTGGTATATGAGGTGGAACAAAATTATGTACAGAGTCCCAGTTACACCAAACAATAGCAAAAATATAAAGTGTAAAAAGAAACTGTAAATAAGGATCTAAGATATACACTAAGATATTTGCTAAACACTAACAATGCAAAACAATACGGCATAACAACAGCAGCCCAAACATGCTAGTAAGAGTTAGACATTTTCAAATACACTGATAAAACAAGTATTGAAAGAAAAAAAAGGTGTCTCAAGTACAATCCAATTGTAGAAAATAACTATGGCGCAGAGGTTAGAGAGGTGGGCTTGTGATCCGAAGATCGCCGGTTCACGCCCCGGCCCCGACAACATCAAAATTGTGGGTGGGGTAGGTGAAACACCCACACTTGCCCCCACCCTCATTCGCCCCACTCTGGGCCCATGAGCAAGGCCCTTAACCCCCACCATGTGCTCCCTAAACAGGTCTCTCTTGAAAATGAGTTCTCGTGGCTCAATGAGACTAACCTGGATAAATAAAGGCTAAAAAAAAAATATATATATATCGAGGGTGTTTGTGTATTAGAATGTAGAACTATTCACAAGATAGATAAATCAAGTAAAACAAAAGATTCCTCAAACAAATTACTCCAGCTACCAGCAGAGAAAAAGGGGAAGTGACACAACACGCCTAAATCTGTCTTTACATCATCCGAGGATCAAACATTGGTTCACAGTTCAAACCTTCTCAAAAGGTTCCCATTTTGTGTATAAATTCTGCGAAAAAACTATGATTATTTCATTAGTTAAAAAAAGTGAAAACGAGATGTACACATCTACAAAATAATGTGAAGTTTAGGAAGTATGGGCTGTTTTCAGCTAGATAGTGGTGAAACAATCTATGTTGACTGGTTTGGAAACAGTGGACTTGATAAAAAGACAGGAGACAGAACTGAAAGTGGCAGAGCTGAAGGTGTTGAGATTCTGCTTAGGAGTGACAAGGATGGATAGGATTAGGAATGAGATCAGAGATACAGCACAGGTTGAACAACTGGGAGATAAACTTAGAGAAGCTAGACTGAGATGGTTTGGACATGTCCAGAGGAGGGACAGTGGGTATATTGGTAGAAGGATGTTAGAAACGCGGCTGCCATGAAAAAGATAGAGGGCAGCCAAAGATGAGATACTGTATATGGATGCAGTTAGAGAGGACATGGGGGTAGTTGGAGTGAGGATAGAGGATGCAGAGGACAGAGTGAGGAGAATGACTTGCTGTGACAACACTTGAAAAGGGAAAAACCAAAAGAAATAGAAGTAGCCGTTCGTAACCTGTCATCACTGACTTAAATATTCTCAATTGACATTTTTTAATCTGCTGTAAATGAATGAAATTCTTTTAAATCATTTATTACTCTGAACCTGAAGTCACTGATCCATTTACAAACGTTTTCCAGCAGTTTCACAGTTCGTGACATTAAAGCTACTTCCATCTTGTGTAAAACTTTACAGCCAATAAATACAACCCATAACTACTGCTCGCTCTTCTGGATCACTTGTTGCAGCCCTAGTGGTTAAATATACTACCATATCTCTGTGCAGATCTTGATGTTGTCGCTGACATTTAGAAGTGATTGTATGTGCTACTAACGGTTTGTTCGGATGAGTAGCTACAGCCACTTCTTGTCCTTTGAATTAAACTCGGCACTAAAATTATAAATTAATCTGGACACGTGGACAGAGACTCAGACAAAAACAACTGACGGCATCACTGCTTATAGTACAAATGAGACATTTAAAGCTGCAGTTGACAGGCAGCTTACTTCTTTCACAATAACACTTACTGTAGAATACAACTTAAAAACATCTTCCTCAAGTGTTTTCAGCAACATACAAGCAGATACTATGTTCCTAAACTGGATTTTTCCCTCCTGAAAGCAGCAGGTAGGTCTCAATAGATGCCAGGCAGTACCTTAATGGTTGCTGCCTTTATAAAGAATAGATCATGAGATGTATAGATCTGAATATCTCTCAGGCTCCACATGAGTGATTCGACACACATAGCAAGGGGTAAGAAAAAGGAGCTGCTTTGTGTCCGGTTAATGGAGAAGGAAGCAAATGGTGGAAATGTGCTGTTTTGTAACATCCAGATCAACTCTAATGAGTTGTAACGTTCAATAAATCAGTGAACATAATTAAAGCAAAGATGTTCACCCTTTATTAATAAGTGCTTATACTTAATCTCTTTCCAAAACAGAAAAACACAGTAGTCTTACAGAAATGTTCCAATTTCTCATTAAAATGCTAAAATATTCCAATAATAATCCAACACACAGTAGTAGTTCTAATAGTGGGAGTGTGATTTGACAACGTTCTGCGTCTAAATCACCGTGCTCACAGAGTGTCCACCACAAAAACACAATGTTCCCTGGAATCTCTGTGAGGGTCAGGACCCTGGTTAAAGAAGCAACAGAGCAAAGAAAGTCAGTCAGAGGTATGCATTTCTCCTTCAACGATACAGTGTAATAAACCACGTGTACTTCGGTGGAGAAAAAAAAACCTTGGGTTAGATTTATGACTGCTGCAGTGGGGGGAGGCAGCCTACCTGTGGATCTGTCCGTTCTTGTGTAGGTACTCCAAGCCCTCGAGGACGTCTCTCAACACGGTGGCTATGCTGGCCTCGTCCAGGACGCCTGTCTTGTGTTCGCCCCGTGAGATGATATGTTTGATCACGTCCAGCACTGAGCCTGGCAAACGGACAGAGCAAACGTTAGATTTGCAAAGCTACGCTTCAGTTGTCTTTGCCGAAAACTACACAGGTGACAGAAAGTTTACAGAAAAACAACTAGCAATTAGTCGGCATCTTCCACAAAGTTATGTATTTACAATGAAGCACCAGCTTAAAGAAATGGGGAATTTTCTCTTTTTGCTTAAAACCATAACATTTATGAAATCATCTCCTGATGCATGATGAATAATCCAGGTAATCTAACAAGGTTAATGATTGCTTTTTAGGCTGACGATCCTCCCTTTCTATGTGAATAACTAGTTCTGGCTGTTACCAGCAAACTGCTTGATCCACTATAAGAAGTTAATATTTATAAGACTGAGTTTACTACTGCTCCTCAGACTGAAGAAGGTTTTTGGATAAAACATGAAACGTTTCAACAAAGAAAAACCTGTCCAGAGCTCAACCATGTTAGATTTATGAAAACACAGTAAAATGAGCCAACACTTCAGCAAGACCATGTATACCCATCAGTGCTGACTGGTAAATCTTTAGACCAGAGATTATCAGTGGTTATGACAATCTCATCATCATAAATATTACATTTATATAAAAATATCTATAAATGTATGATCTTGATCTGATATAGTAGAAGTCTAAATTTAAAAACAGGTGTGTAGAACTATATTTGAGACAACAAATCAAACTGTCGCCTCCGTCTTCAATGAAAGCAAACCAGTGCGGTTCTGTTAACTGACCTGGCTATTTAAAAGCCAAAGAGACAGGTCACCGTGTTGGCTCCTGCTTTATAAAAGGAGCACTCTCAGTGAAGTTGGTTTTCCTTTGTGCACCTTTCCAACTAAATAAATGGCACACCTCTGAAGAGGTTCTGTTTGAAACTGCTATGACAAAAGATTGTGCAACACTGGTGGATAAGAACAAAGCAGAGAAACAAAAAGAATGCCTCTTGCATGACAAGCTTATTTGTGCTGCATTGAGACACCAACACAAACATCACACTGCTGCTGCATCTATCTGTCCCTGACACTCTTGCACACTCAGCTGCAGCACTTGCAAACACCAGCTGGACGTGAGCCAGAGACGGCTCATGACAAAAATCCAGGACTAAATTTATCGTTTTTCCAGCAGCCTAGCTCAGATCGGGAAGATAATTTGTTCGATCGTTTCATGTGTCCTCATCTGCAGCATTCCAGCAGCTGACGACAACGAGCTACCTGGGGCTAAACCGTGTTACTGCAGAGTCATAAATTGAGGGAGATGGAGAGGAAGAGTTTAGCTTAATGCATTATTTGTGCACAGTGAACAACATGATTCAGCATTCAGAATGCAGACAAGGAAAGGCAGGGGGAAAATAAAACGTGTTTGTATGAAACGGCAGCTGGGCATTTGCAATATCTGCAAAAGCAAAGGAATAAAATCCAAATGTTTCTAAATTTGCAAAAGAAAAATAGCAATTCATTTTATTTCCCCCACATTTTATGTGCAAAAATTGCATTTTCCACATAAAAAGTGCTTTTAAAGTGTAAAACAATATCCAAAGACCAACGCTGTAAACTAAACGTTTACACAGATTATACACCACAAAGTCTCCTTTAAGATGGCACCAGGAAAAAGGTGGGATGAAACACACCCAGCATGATTCGAGCTCTGGATGCTCTCTAAATGCCAGCCTTGGCAGCCCTTTTCAAAGTTAACTCATCTGCTAGAAATCTTTATGCCTCTCGTTAGGTTGTTTCAGCAACAACCTGAGAGTGTAACGGTCCGAAGGTTCAATCTGCATGGGAGAGGCAAGATATGTGTTGGTGTTCATTTCAATGGCGTCTCTCCAAAGCCCTGAAGGAAGAGTTTATACAAATGGCAGGGAGGAAATTAAGACTTGATAGCAGAGAGCACTGTAGAGCATGCAAATATCTCAAAAATCATTGTTTCAGCTCCATGATAAGTTCGGCAAATAAACTCCTTTACTTCAGATTTTAAACAAAAACTGACAGTAACATCACCTTCCTCTTCACTGCTATTTTTGTTAAAGCAGCAACTTTAAAATGAGATGATGAGGGAGTAAAAGACAGGGGAGGAGGAGGAAGTAGTTGAAGGAAAAGAAACCCGGTGCCAACTGTGCTAAAGGCACAAGCAGAATGCCAAGTGAGGCTGAATAAGGAGAGTCAGGGTGGGACTGCAGCAAGGTATACAGATACTATTACGGGCTCAGACTAAAGGCAACACTTTAATAAGTTGCAAAATTATCTGAGAGGGAAATCATCTAGATAATAAAAGAAGAATTTACCAATAATGATAACTAAAATAAAAGCAGTAAACACTGTTGTAAGCTACTTTTACAGTAAGAACATACTGTGGTGCTGAAAGAGCAATAACTTCAACTTTGAGGTTAAATATTAAATAAAAGTAGAGAAATTGATTTCCTGTGAAAATGCAGTGTGAATGCTTATTGCTGAAGAACTTGCTGAAAAAGGCTAAAAACTTGCTGCAATGTAGCTGAAATGGAAGAACAAGCCTAAGTTAACAGAAGAAAACAGAAAGAACATATATTTGCCAAATTTGGTTTAAATAAGCAGACATGAGCAAAAAGTTAGGAAATTACCAGTGGCTAAAAAAGGCTGAAATTAGCACATACAAAAAAAAGGGTAGATGAAAAGATGCTGAAAAGGTAGGAAGAAGCTTAAACTACTAAAAGGATACAGAAGGAGCTGTAATGAGCTAAAAAATTGAATTAGCTGAAAATGCTAAATTTAGCACAAAACAGCTAAAAAGTAGCTGAAATAGTGGAAAAAGCTGAACCTAACAGAAATAAGCTGAAAGGAGCACAACAAGCTGAAATTAGCAGAAAGAAGTTATTTAGACTGAAAGTAGCTAAAATTACCACAAAAAAATTGAGTTTATCTGAAAACAGCTGAAATTAGCTAAAAAAAGCTGAAAGTTAGCTGAAATGTAGAACAATATTAAATTAGCAGCAGTACATAGAGAGAGCATGATTTTGCCTTATTAGTCTGAAAGAAGCAGAAATGAGCACAAAAAAGTGGAACTTATGTGGAAAAAGCTGAAATTAGCCCCC